TCTTCATGTTAACATATATAATATAATAAAGTGCATATATATATATATATACACACACACACATATATGTTTGCATGCCTGTCGAGTGCACAAAATGCATTCTCCATGGATTTTTCTATCACTTTGACTAGCACAGAGAGTTATGTGGTTCAGAAGCACGGAACTGACGAAAGTAGCCATGACAGAAGAACACTAGGTTTTCTTCCATCCTTTCATAAACCAGATCTGTAAATGCAAAGAATGCAAGGAATGGGCTTGAGATAGCCAATTTTTTTAAACTTAATAAGAAAAAAAAATATCCACTTGTATAAAAGTTTAACTAACCTGGCCTCCAAAAGAAAAACTAAAACGTAAGCTATTTCTGCACCCTCGTCTGAAATAGCTATCTTTAGGGCAGGAATCATCAGGAACCTAACAGAACTGTGGAGCTCAGTTTTACTGTCTTGCATCAGTGAACATTCCTCAAAAGCAGAGAGCATCACTAATGGAATTATATGTTTTCACGCTGTAATTACATTTGATTTTTCCTGATATTTCTGTAGACTTTTTGTTCACGGGTCCATGACCAGGCAGAATATTTACAAGTTTTCTATGTCCTTGAACTAACCAAGGCCCTCTTTACCCCATCCCTAAAAAAATAAATTAGCAATAGCAATTTTTAACAACAACAACAAAAAAGAAGTGTATTTTTTTAAAAAAAATTCAGCTTTCAGAAAGCTCTTTTAATAAAAACAAAGGATATAAATATCAATAACAAAAGAAGAGAATTTTATAATGGAAGGAAACTAAGACAAGGGTATTTCTGAGTTCTGAGACTCCTTGAGCCCCCACCCCAAATTGAGCATTTAATATTTTTCATTATATATGAATGGCTATTTGTCAGACAAATATTTTGTCTTTGCCCCCTGTTGAACTCTGTTGAAGGCACTTTGAACAAACCATCTGGAACTCAACTTGTGTATACCATATCAGAGCTTCCATACCTGTGGCTTAACTAGCTCCTCTTTTTGCTCTGGATAGATTTGGAGTATATTGATGCAAGTGAGTTGTCACTCAAAACTTATCAATGCGGCAGTAGAGTCTGGGCAGCCAGAAGACACCTCCAATATGTGAGCAGGGCTTCTCAGAAGTGAGAATCTTAAGCTATAAGTAAACCCACAAAAATTTCTGTTAAGAGACAAGTCATTAGGAAAATATGTTGGAATCTCATATTATTCTCACCTTAGCCCCTTATCTTCCTTCACATCAGTCTAACTTTGCTCTATACACTTCAATGACTCTTTAGCATGGAAAGTCCTGTTTCTTAATGTGAAATTCCTATTCTCCATGTTTGCGAGACTATGAAATATGGAAGGAGCACTTTAAATAAGTTTACACTGTTAAGTTTTTTCATGTCAAGGCATGATGGAAGAGATATTGGGGGGGTGCTGGCTGATGCTCTGGAAGGGGCATCTGCTTGCAAATGGAGTTAGTTTGAGGTACAGCTGGATATTGCTGGATCTGACCTGGATTGGATGTCTTATCATAAACCAAAGTAAAGCTAGCCATACATTTCCCCAAGTTCAAATACAAGTTCTTGCCATGCCATTTATTAGACTGTTGGAATCACAATTTCAGTTCTCTGCTGTCAAATCCCTGCAGTCTGGCTTGTGGCCCAGCCACTCAATCCAAATCACGCCCCGAGGTCTTCCAAAATAACTTCTCAGCCAAAACCAATAGTATCCTTCTAGACTCGTCAGCTTTATTCAAAACCATATTCTTTTCCCTATAACAATCATCTGGTGTCAGATTCAATGGACCCGTCCCTTCTAGATTTCCCATTTCCTGTATCTCCATAGTCATACCTATAGCAATTCTCCTTTAGATGTCATTCCAACTTTGATCACTTCAGTACAACTGTGTGTGTGAATTGTTTACCTAGCCCTAAACTTTTCTTTTCAAGGTCTTATATCTCCTAATGCCAGGTTTTCAGCTGCAGTTAATGATAGTAAAATAACCACTCTGCTCTTCATTCTCAAATCCTTGCTACTGTTTAAGTTCTTGTTTGCTTTAAGCAACTCTTGAGTCATTTTGATTCCTCACCAACCCCTTCACTTCTCTTAGACTTCTGAAAAGCATACATGTTCTGCAAAGATTACATTTAGTAAATGAATCCTTTTATTTACCCTCTCCCTTCATTAACTTTTGCCAAATTCAAGTCAGAGCACATTGTATACATAGCTCAACTAGGGTTCCTGTCACCCAGGCAATCAAAATTCAACCCATAATTAAGTAGTGGTTGGATCATCCTCTGCCACTCTTCTTATCCATCCTTAATGTGATATCCACCACTTAAGTCCTATAGGTGTCCTCCTGATCTCTTTTCCGCCATCTCTAATTTAATTGTGTGTATTCTTAAAAGAATGTCCTTTCTTCTCTGTAACAAGTTTGCCCTTCTTCGGTACTCAGCCAAATGCCTTTCTCCAAGAGGCTTTGCATGATATATATGTAGACTGAATCATGACCTAGCTGACTTTCAGGCTTCTCTCATGAATACATGGCTTTAAGTAAGCAAATTTCTCTCATAAAGTGTCCTGAGTCATTTCTATTCACATATAACTCCTGTAGATTAGTATATGTATCTATGGAAATGCATATTATCTGATAATTTAGAAACATTTTTTTATTTTTATTTTTATTTTTTGGCAGGTTTGCCCTAGTCTCAGTCCACCTGTAAGTCACTATGTGGATCAGGCTGGCCTCAGTCTCTCAGAGGTGTGCCTGCCTCTGCCTCCCGAGGGCTGGGATTAAAGGCATGCATAACCATGCCTAGCTAGCAGTCCTTTAATTATATGTATATAATTATTTAACTATTTTAAAGGACATAATAATTATTTGTTTTCAGGGAGAGAGCTATATTTCAATATGTGTAATGATCACATTAATATGAAATATTAAACTTTCCATAATTTCAAACATTTCTTATGTAGAAAACATTCAAAATCCTTTATTGTGACCACTTGGAAGACCACAGCAAACATTGCTAAGTGTAGTCACCTTACTGAATTATCAGTCACTACAACTTTGTCCTATCTGTGTATTTTTAGACATTCACCAAACTCTTTATTCTTTTCTCACTTCTAAGGAAATTTTTAATCTTCACAAAAAATTCATCTGGTCTTTTGACCTCATGGTGTATGCATTTTCTTTTCAGGATCCCCCAATGGCTGTGACCCTGGGACTCCGAATGGAGGAAATGATCTTCAATCTTGCTGATACACATTTGTTTTTTAATGACTTAGAGGTAAGAATTTTTAAAGTTAAGAATAATCTTTTTCCAACACACAAACTCTCGGATGGTGCTGCATCTGCAGAAATCATTGTTAAGACTGAAAATTAGATACTTAGCCCAAGAGAACTTTAAAGTTCTTGTCAAGTGGAAAATTTGTATGAACAGGAAGCAAACCTGTATTCTTGAATTATACATGTGCGCTAGCACAAACTGAGAACAAAAATATCTCTGAAGAATGGATGGTCTGCTTCACTGACCTGTGCGGGACAGCCCTTCATTCTGCCTCTGGGTCTTTGATATCTCACCTTTGAAATTGATTTTGGCCTTTCCAGGTTACTAATGAGGATAACTATTAAAGGTAATCACTAGATGATATTCACATAAAACTGGATCAGTGACTATTGCATCTTTGGACAATGTTATCATTCTACATTCTCTCCTCTGGTGAAATAGTGCTAGAGCTATTTATATCACATGTCCGATGAGTTATACATATATTGCTTTCTCTTTTGAAAAGTTTTTCCGTTTTCAACCTCAATTGATGATATGATGTCTAGATATTAAACAAGAGAAAAGAAAGTAAAAATCAACAAAATGAAAGGTCACAACAAAATCTGGTCTCAGAAAAGCTATCCATGTATGGTGGTAAGTAATACAATTTCTGTGTTAGTGCCCTGGGGTACTACACATCCAGACGGCAGAATTCTAAATAAATAAGTGGTTTGCTAATAGAGCAAAAGTATCTCTTAGACAGATAGACTAGGTTGAAGTAGAGATTTCTTGTTTTGAAAAATGATATGTTTAAATTTATTTTTTAGTATTGTGGTTTCACTATAAGGTAAGATTATTTGGCTAACATCATATTATGAATGGAGAGGAAGATGACATTTTATGAATTCTCACCTGGTTCTAGACACTTTATGTTCAACTTTCCATTAACTGATAGTGCTTTGAAATAAACAGGTGTATATCACTAGTTTGCAAGGAACAAACTGTGGATTATGTAATAAGAAAAGTCACATCCAAGGTTATCTGCTAGCTAGTAGTGGCCTGTGATTTTGAAGGCAGAGCGTATACTTCTTCCCCCAAACCATGATGAAATCAAGATGAGAAAGAAAATCAGTGTTTTAGTGTATGATTGAGATGAGGTTTTAAGTCCAGACTTAGTTGCACCTGAGATAGAACATGAAAATGATTCAACGTAACCTGAAATGCATGTTCAGAAATCTGTAGAGTCAGAGCAATCTGTTGTTTTTTTCTGAACTGTCCATATTTTTATTTCAAAATAAAATGTTCAGGGAGGTTTTGTTTCTTAATGAACAGTGTGAAAGATTATTATTCATCATCAAATTTCTATTTCTAGAAAATAACCATAAGAAATCACCCCCTTGAATGCTGTTTGTCACTACCCAGTATACAAAATGCTTTTACATGACAACCATCAATATGAAACATGTTTGAAGAGCTATTTAAATTTGTTCTCTTGTTCTGAATGTGATGAATCTCATCTTAAAATTTAAGATGATTAATACTTTCAAAGCTACACAAAGAAATGAGAACTTTTATATAGATCTAGCCAAGTTTTCTGAGCTTTTAGCCTTTCATCGGTTTATCAGAAATATTGTGAAATAGGGAAGGCAAAATTGCTCAGTGGGTAGAAGGGTTTGCCTCAATGGCTTGATGACCCAAATTCAATCCCTGGATCCCACTGTGGAAGGAGAGACTAGACTCCACAAAATTGTCCTCTGACATCCACACACATCATAACACACATGCCCCCACAGTCATATACAAACATGTACATGATAATAATAAATAAAATTATTTTTAAAGAACCAAAGTGAAATAAATGTATTACTTATCTATTAGCAGAACATTAAAGGGAGAAGGTGAAACTAGTTCAAGAAGACTCTGTAAGTACCTGTGATTGTTTGGGGCGAATATTGCAATGTACATTAAAAAAAAAAAAAAGGCCAGCTATCTATGGTGCTTTAAAACTTCTATTTTATGTTAGATATTAGTCAAAGATACTTTTTAAATATCTGGTAGGATCATGGCAGAAATATCAAACAGAAAAGATCAATGCCAATGCTTTTCTTTGAGGTTGTGTTTCAGTGTGTCACAGAATTTTTATTTGATTTAAATAGCACGATTTAACTATCCAGCTATATACTATACTCGGTCAGTAAAATAATTGAGCCTGTGTATTAAACTGATCCAGCTCTCATATATGCACACAGTGCACATACATGCTTGCATATCTAACAAAGCATTCAGGAAACAAAAGTGCATTACTGTCACATAAACTAGCACAAACTAATGAAACCCGAGCAATAATGCTCACGACCTACATGCCTGCTATCTTTTTGTGAACGATTTTGAACATCATCTTTACCTTCACCTTCACTCAGTTGTTTATATCAACAAACCCTTAGTCACCAAATTTCTTGCAAAGGTTCCATAACGGGAATTAAATGGTATCTGCTTCTGCTGACACAGAGACTTGCTCAAGAGAGTACGCATGCTGTTAGCTTGTTGTGAGAGTTTTTTCTGGGGGGTCTTTTGTAGAACCTAAATGTTTAATTTGAGACTCCAGTGTGTCACTACACATTTCTATGTCAGTGGCAGTTGCCTTTCTTAAATTCCTTAAAAGGTACAGGTGCATAATTCCTTAAAAGGTTTGAATTCTACTCAAAGATACTTTACTCCATCCTGTCCAAGTGCAGGGAAAGCAAATGCTCAGACTGCAGGCCCAAGAAGCGAATGTTTTCTACTTAAATGAAGTGTTATTGCAGTTAGAATAACTTCCAGAGGAGAAAGCACCAGGGAGTTTGAGGTCAAAACAGTGAGAAATAACTGCTGTGGTTTATGATTTGAAAATAAAAAATCAGGGACGACACTGTGGTTACCTTATAAGACAAAAATTAAAGCACTTAAGATTAGCACCAGAAATTATTTGAAACATTTGAGGTCTTTGCTAAGATGTGTTAAAACCAAAGCACTCTAATGGTTTTAGGTATTCCAGGTTTCAGTTGAAATGATTTCTGCATGGCTCCTCACAGTGAAAATTGATTGATGGACAATTATTTATCTTTTCCTAAAAAAATGTAAGTAATTGAAGTTCAAGTTTCTTTCAGTGGAGTGTAATCCTCAGGCAACTGTCCAGAGTCAACACACAGAGTTAACTAGGCATAAATTTAAAAAGAAGTTAGATTTGGAAAATCCTCAAACGTAACTTCAAATATAGAATGCATGGTCCAATAAGTTTGATATACTGTTGTCCTCAGGAGTAAAATATGAATTTGGGGGCAAGATATGTACGAATTAATCATGTGGGTTAATACTTAAAATGTCAGGGTAATTTCTTTGGAAATTAGAAGGAGGAAATATTCAAGCAATAACTTGTGATTTCTAAAGACTTATTATTAGAGAGATATGGAAATTAGTTGCACTAGGAAAGATCTGAAGACTTCAATTCAGTGAACCACTTAAGAACACATCATTCTGATAGGAATCGCGTTCAATCTACATACTTTCCACGTCTGAGTAAGAAATATTTTGTGATCTAGAGCTACCTTGGGGCCTCTATCTTCTGGAATAAAAGCATTATCTCCAACTTTCACGTTGACTGCTTAGAACGCCCCACCCGTTGTTTTAAAGCCCAATTTAATAGCTAGTGCTGTTCTTTGTTTACACCTGAGAGAGGTTTGGAAGTGTAATGCCTCCTTCCGTTACAGTGGGACTGGGCTTCCTCTCAGCCACTGCTTGGTCAAATAGAGAAAACAGCTCTCTAAGTGTCTGTCTAGCCATAATTCAGTTTCATTTTCCCTCTACTCACAACATCAGTGTCTTCATGCAGTTCTCAACATCTGAGATAGTTTTTTTTTTTTTTTTTGGCTTTTTTGGGAAGGGGT